TGTATACTCTTTTGGTATCATTATGTATTTGATTGCTACTGGTGAACCACCTTTTAGAGATAGGCAGTTTGATAGAGGCTTAGCATGTGATATTATGGGCGGACTACGACCATCGATGCCTGATTCCGCACCAGAGAAATACAAGAAACTTGTCGAGCGGTGTTGTGATGCTGATCCTGATAAGCGTCCAGATGCAGAGACACTTTATAGTGATATTGTCAGGCTTACATGTAATAAGGATGTGTACGGCAATTATAATGACAATACATGGAATGCCGTTTATCATATTGATGTAAAACCCTTATCACGTCTCGAGAAGGAGAGCAAATATTCTAGCAAACTTTTACCTACTAGAGATTTGCCTAAACCGACAAATAGCTACGATCTGGATTCAGCTGCAGGTATGAAGACAACAATTGGTTATAGATGAAGTCATTTACAATATTAACATCGTCCCTGCTTATGATTTAGTGACTCGAACGCTCTTTGAATAAACTTGTAATTCGCGGTTTATTTACAGTTTATACGGTTTTACTCAACGGTTTACTCCTCGTTCGATTAAATAAATTAACATGTTAATATGAGTTAAGTTAAAAAGATACCGAAATAAAATCGTGCACGTTTACTGCTAGCTGCCTTTGCCGGGGTAGATTATTAGAACATGTAAACAAATAGAGAGTACATTATTTAAACTGGTAATGAGTTCTTCCTGAATAAAATGCGTAGCTATATTTGAGCTCTGTTCGCTGGACGGTGAAGCTTTATTATCAATTTCAGCCACCGGCCAGATGATGCGTGCTTCCTACTAAATGTTCGCCATTGCCATGAAGGAACACATAGTGAAACTACTACGTTACAAGCCGACGGAAAGACTGACGCGGAGCCATGGTACAGTCATCCCGATTTCCCATATCCTATATTAATATAGAAATACTGTATATAATGATCAGTAAATTGACCTTACTATATATGTTAATCATGTTACATGAACATCATCTATCCCTTGTTGGTTAGTACGTTAATGCAATACATTATATGTTTATATGAAAAGTGGCATGTCACATGAAAAAATTGGCGACCTGATCCTTAATTTGACATGATGCTCTATTCTCATTTGTTTCAATCTATTGCAAGTAATAACTAAACAATCACAGGCATGCCACTTTTCGATTAGGTCATATAACACCGCCACTTTTTCGTTGTAAAGAAAGACGTCTCAATTTCAATATGAGAGAGCGTGTTTCTGATTTAACGAAATTTGTTCATATTAATATTGAGACAGCTAAAATTTGAGTTGAAAATGATATGAGTCGTAAAGCGCCAAACTTTATTATATAAATTTTCTTGTATTAGTACCACTAAACTAAAGTATATACTTAATACTCAATTATACCTACTTCAGATATATCCCCAAAAAGTTGCCGTCCAGGGATCTATGGCCACACTTACCGTAATTGCATGAGAAATTGTTATTTATACGTACATATGCTGGCAACACACTTAATATAGTAAAAATGTTTTTGCATGCATTACCAATACGCATAATTCTTGCAATTTTTGTTTAATGAATTCAAAGCAAAAATTAATGTTAGTACTAATACGACCCTTCTCCTATATATTTTGCCTACTAGCTTTCTTTGATTTCCTAAAGTTTATTTGTTCGTCAGTCGCGTTAATCTTCAAATACCATGTATTGTAATTTTTTGTGCAGATCTTAGCGTTCTTCTTTAACTACGCGATATTATTATTTCAGAACGTTAAAAAAAGCTTTATGTAAACGCCGCTTGACAGGTATACAGATAAACCCTTTAGCTGCTTTCATTGTCTCGTCAACATTGTCCGGAAAGAAACCCCCCAGATGAAATAACGACTAGAGTTTATATGCACTCTTCGTCATACTAATACGGTTGTCTTGTTGGAGAAATATTAAATTATGCCCGCAATCAAAATACGTGTATATACATGGCTATAGTTTAGGTTCAGGAAGACAAAATGCTATATCACAAAGATCCGGTTTATATACGTACACTCCTCCATACTCGTTCTACTGCTACTCTGTTATATCGACTATTATTATGTACATTGCAACCAAGTTTGTGCAAGACAGGCCATAAAGTTTATTGAGTATTATGCAATTAGAAAAATTCTTTTAGTAAAACAAAGCCATATTTGTTGTGCATCTGAAACAAATCCGTGTGCCTAATACTAAGCAATAGTGCAACCACCATTAGACTATTTCATCTTCTAATTTTTCGTTCGGGGAAAAGCGATCAAAGTCTGCAATCCGCTCTAATTTTGTAACATTCTCTGCAGATAACGAATAGTAATTAACCCTCAAAGTTTTCAGTGAACTACCAAGGTGATCTAATATGACATCAAAATGTTTGCCATGGATAGGACGCTGGTTGTCAATTATTAACAATTCGATGGGTGGCTTTGATTTAGACAAAAAGTTTTGTAATGAAGTAGCGCCAATTTCATATACACCCAGCAAAGTTAATTCGCGCAATTGAAGTAACTTATATCTAGCCAAGCAATCTAAGGGAAAGTCCATATAAAAACAAAGAGAACATTGGAGTTTGACAGAATACAGATGAGGCAGTCTTGCAATCAGGACAGCAATTGCTGATATGTCGCCGCTGGTTAGTGTAGTGCGCAAATGTGTCAACCTTGGGCAATGCTGTAATATGGTCTCACAAACCGTATCATCAATGCCGCCCGAGATTTCTAGAGAAACAAGTGTCTCTCCATATTTGTGAATAAAGGTCGCACATGGAAGGTCCAAGTTTCGCCATGCAAGTTTCCGCAAATTAGGTAAACCAAGTTTCAACAAGTTTTTCATAATCCTAGTTGGAAACGATGTGGAAACCTTAATATCCAAGCTTTTTAACTTGGGAAACTCTATATATTCGGGTTTTTGATCCTTGTCCAGTCCCAACGTGACATCTGCGAGTGTAATCGATTCGAGAGAGTGGGCCTTTTTCTTCAATAGCTGTAATAATAAAACCATATCCGAATGTATAGAGCCAATTGTAATGTTTCTTAATCTACATTGTGACTCAATGAGATTTTGTAAACTGTCTTTCGGTTCTGTTTGAAAAGTATAAGTAGACCCTCTGCCGGTATCAATTGAGAGTGATTTAATATTATGTGCTACCTTTGCAAGTGAATCAAAGACCATTTTGGATGGTTTGTGAGTATCCAAGGTAAGTTTCTTTAACTGTGACAAATCTTTTTTTGCAAGTTGTTTACTCAGCCGAGTCATTATTAATGGCCGTGTTGCTCGAAAAGAAAACGTATGCCAGTGCTGACAATATTGGGTAGCCAAAAGAAAAATTCTACCAGATATCCTTTCTCTTTCTTGTCTATGGTGACTATCTAATATAAAAAGACAATTTCCAACAACTCTTGTGATAGAAGATGAATCAAGTTCTCTCAAATAATTACTATAATCAAATACCGGATGTTTACAATGTTTCTTTGTTAAGTAAGCGGGATTTTTCAAAAACTCTTCCATGCTCATAAAGCATTCGATGAATGATGTCAAAAGAATTTTTGCTTTTTCGTCCCTCGCTATATATTTGAACATCTCCATCATATGACTATTGTCACAAAACAATGAAAACGGATCGGCCCAGAGGTACTGGATAGCAATGCTAAACCAACTTTTGTTGACAAGAATACATGAATGGAGAGTTGAACAATCGTTGATATGCTCGCTCAGAATCATTGTGAGAAGTTCGGCAGGCAAAGCAGAAGTCATGTTAAATATGGAATGTTAAAGTTGAATAAGCAGGAGTTTTCAATTGTAAAAAAAAAAAAAAGTTTTTTATTATCGTTTTCAAGGCAGCAAATCAGATACATCCCTAATTACATACTCCTTAATTCTAAGACTCGGTACATTCTGCACGTGCAATGGATTTTGACATACCGCAGAAATTTATGCATTATGCATTTAGACAATTGATCGGATATCTTTTTCCGATAATTAAAAAAAAAAAAAAACAAACAAAACTTTTCTTTCCCAATGACAAAAACGACCTTGACGAATATCAAAAGATGTGAAAGTTGCTTGAAAGGCAGGATAATCCAAATATCAACCAAAAAAATCTTGTTGAATGGTCGTTAAAGTGAATCGATCAACCAACAATAGTAAGCAGACATTGTATTGTCATACATCAGGTAAAATTATAATTGATTCAAATAGTAATGTCAGTTATATAAAATCTGTCAGTAAATCGTCACTATTAGATGTTAAATTAATAAAAGACCATTGGAAGAGTTGTTTCGTAGATCGTATGTCTTGATATCAAGGCCATTTAATCATCAGGCTATTTTAATCAGACCATTTAAATTTCATGTAAGCGATCCAAATCTGTTAGAGGCGATGAGCTATAGTGAGGGCGACCTTAGTACCACGCACGCATGCAAACCTGTGTTACCACTCCGTCACCAACTTGTATTGTTCTCTAAATACACTCTCAGTGTATTTAGGGAGATTTCTACCAAATGGTAGACTAGGCAACGTCTCGCAAGCCACTCATCCAAAAAGCCGCTTCATATAAACCCAGAATCGCTTGTAACAGCTACACATATAGTCCCATGCAAACATCTGACGCTCTGGACTTTATACAACAAAACTTTGAAACTGTGCAGTCAGTATTTAAATTTAAAACCACCCTGCCGCCCTGCCGCCATCTGTACGTATCCAACAAGAATGTATTTGAAACAACACTAATGGAAAAAGGTATTTGCAATGGCACTATCGGAATCATTATTGATTTTGATAAAGATAATGCGATGTGTTTTTGTATCCAGCAATGAATTATTGCTTACTTATATGCATCGGGACAGAAGGCATCGCATACCCTACAAAGCTCATTGCTTTAACGATACATAAGACTAAGGTCTCACATTACAAGTATCATTGAGTTGGCATATATTTTCTCCTGGCCAAGTTTATGTCGCCATTGGTAGTGCCCATCTTGGGAGAGTCTCAATATCAGCATGCTGCACAAAAATGCTTTCATAACAGATGCGATAAAAGAGTATGAAAGACTTCAACATATCGCAGAACAGCACGACCGTAATTCCATTAATATAAAATATCATGCTTTTAATCAAGTGTAACATGCATGGATTTGTGCTTTATTTGAGCAGAAATAAATCAAAATAAAGCCATGATAATAATAATAATAATCATTTTATAACCGGGAACTATAATGCTATACTAGTCACTAAATTAGAAAAGAACGAGATTCCTAAAAAGTGAAAGATAGAAATTCCTTAAAAGTAGTTGAAAAAGAAATGAAGAGAATTATTTTAACTGTTATGCATAATAATAATAACGATAACGATAACGTGTTAGTATTTAATTACACATCACGTGATTGAGATCATTCTGACGGAGCGGTCCCTCCCTGATTATTAGGTCTGGCATTAATATTAACCCCGTTATTATTACAGGTATTTAGCATTATGGCCACCGACACAAACGTCGTCAAACTGACGCAGATAGCATATCCGCTAATTCTGCTCTTCATGACTCGGTCGAATTCGTTCATTTGCCTTATTAGCCTCATTTCAATATGTTTTTCCACTGCCTCCGTTAAAGTGATAGTTTTGTCCGACTCGTGCAGTGTTTTTTGGGCCTTTGTAGAGTATCTTCTAGAACCTAAATAGACAAATAAACGATAAACAAAATAAAAAAAAAGAACATTATAAAATCATAATAAACAAAGTTATACAAAAGACGCACCACCAGGGAACTGGCGTAAGTTGCAGGGGCGTAAGTTGCGGGGGGCGAAGACGGCTCTAAACATGTTTGCGATACTTTGGCGTTGAAGAAATCGAAGAGCGATTACTTTTTTGTTGAGTGGTAGGACGAAAGCGCAAAGAGAAAAAACGAGTGTTTAGTGACCTGTCCATGTAGCTTTAAATACATGTAGGAAATGCGTGATCTTTATTATTCTCCGAGACAATAATTAAACAATTGGAACAAATCTTATGATATCAATTTTCTTATTATTATCGATAACTTTGCAATCACTGTCTGAGGGGAGTAATTTACTTCCGTAAACAGTGATATTATTGTTCTACCACAACCTTATTCAATACCACGTTATTTACAACTATCTGACAAGTATAAAATGTTCTCACACCACATACTCCTGTGCAGGGGTGACTGTTAATATTAATGGCGGCTAAACTGCATGAACTAAAATAGCACCCTCTACATGTGGCTGTAAGCGATACGTGAAAGATGAAACCTTTGATAGGGATGTGCTAAGACTTTTTAACAAACACCTTCTGGAACATGATTCGTATCTTCGGAAGTTACAGCCGTATGTGAATTACGTGTTTTTTGGGTTACAACAATAGCGACGTGTTCCCTCCATTATGATTTCCGAAATAGAAGGTGGACGGGGGAAAAATTGATATATTTGGAAACGCCCAAAATCGGTTAAAAATCTCGTGGGAATGACGAGAATAGTGTACTTATTAAGATAATAATAGACTCCACATATGTGTAAAAATTCTCACACTCCTACTGCGTGATGATATGTGTGTTGGTTCTTGTAACTTGTTTGTTTGTTTCGGGCAATCAAAAGATCTAGTAAAGAACGCAAAACTCCCATTAACCAGTAGCCAGTACAAGTTCTTGTTTGTTTTGGGAGATTGGCCATTTTCGTATCTAATCAACATCTTCAGTGACAGGCTGTGGATAGTTGGTCTCGATTAGCTTGGTACTGCTGTACTGTGTGCACGAGTTATGTTGTCACGTGAGAATATAAGATTTAATATATTCATAATAAGTTACCGGTCGGTCAAGTTGTCTGTATGAAAAGTTATTAAACTTGGGTGATTAGTATAAGCAAAACTCGAAATTTCTTTTCTTGTACAATCGATTACAGACATTTTATGATAACTAATTGCAATTAAAGTATAATAACAATAGGATAAAGAAAACGGATTGTATAAAAATACCAGCTAGTGAAATCAACGATACCCGTAGATACCAAACCACTACAGAAAAGTCAACTTGATAAATTTCTCTGATTGTTAAGTTTAGTAATAAATACTCTGTTGTTTCGCTTATCACCAATTAACAACGGCGCGTAAAACAAAAAGGCAACAACAAACAGTTGCTTAGAGAAAAAGGCCCGCTATTTCTCTCAAAAGTCTGCCGTCACCAGGGAAACTATCAACGATGAAATAAATGTTACTGAACCAATTCAAGAATGGACAGAATATTTGGTAGAGTTTGAAAAAGTAGGGAAGTAACTTATTAACAAGTTCTCACTGGGCTTTAAGTTACATTCCCAAAGTATTATTACAGTCAAACATCTTTATATCGATATCTGTTATACCGATAATTGGTTTATGTATAGAACATGAAAACGTAATAGTTTAGTTAATTTAAATTATCCATAATTAAAATTTCGTACTATCAAAAAAGGATCGTTGCCAGGATTGTCGAGTTATGACTTCCGGTACCATTGCAATAGCAATAGCGATGAGCAGATTACGCCTAATGGGTACACCAGTCATTTTTGTAATTTCCAACTTATAAGGTGATGCTTCACCTGCTTTGGTTCCATGTCGTATCGAATCTGCTCCTTGTTTCTCGGATAGAATGATGACAATAATAGTAATAAATGATAATAAGTTTTTCACTTGCTGGCCATTTTCTGTAAACTTTTTAGTGATACGAAAACGTCAGGCTTACCACTGGTATTATAGCATTATGGGGTTGTCAACAAAACTCAACAACCAACACCAAGCACTAATACTTATCAATCAACCAAACATGAGGGCATCAATGGACCAAGCAACAACTATACCATCCCACTAACGGAACAGAAATGTTCATCGCCCACTGTCGTGTCTGGACGCTCTCTGGTTTACGCTCTGGTTTACGCTCTACGCTCGATACGCATCACAGGCCTCTGAGACAGCCATCCCAATCAACAAGCGCCGAGGAGGAATTATCGCTCGATATAACTTGGCGAATTACAATCTATGGAGCAGAGATTTCGGCTGTGGAAGGTAAACTCAAACTTATTGGTTGAATAGTTTTAATACAAATGATTTGGGATATTTTCAGCAATAGACTTACTTCTAATACTTTTTATGCACACAATTTACCCTACACGCTGCCGAGATAAATCATGGGAGTTCGCTCTGAGACTGCCTATCGAGACGCGATTAACACAAATTCCTACTTACCCAGGTATTGCCGTGTGAGCTTGTTTTGGAGAAAAATGGTGATAGTAATAGAATTTTGTATAAAATTAATAAAAAAAATTGGAATTGTTTAAGAATTTTGCATGGTCACTGAGTTTATTTCAGTCTTTCATTACACGCTGTATGAATTAATACCAAGAAAACATTGTTTTCAAATATGACATGTAAGAAGCTGCAGCTGCCAACTTACCAGTCCTACAGGATGGCAAAATGCTTTTAGAAATGGCCCCACTTGGATTACACATTTCTTAGTTTTTAGATAATTATTTTAACGTACTACTTTTAAGCAGGTCTCTATTACTATTACTGTAGCTGTCAATATTTTACAAACTTGCAACCAAGAAATTTACAGAAATAATTATGCTTCCAGTGCAAGATAATGAATAATCTGACGCAGACAAGCTTGGATTTGTACTGTATGTTTCTTGGGTAAAGTTATCCCAATTGAAGAATCGTTAAGTAAGGGAATGTGCATGTCAGATGTGTGTTCTAATAACTGTATCAGATTAAAGGTTAAGATCATTATTATGCAACTTAATATGTTGCATGGAAACGCCAAGTAGTAGTAGAATTAGTGAAATTAATTATAGTTTCATTTCCTCATCAAGAAGCAAGATATCTCTTTAACTTTAAGTAAATTCATAGGTGTGCTAATAAATATTAATTTGCAGTAATTGCATCACGCCATGACTTTTGACTACAGTCACTTATTCCCATTGCTTCACTAGTACTAGTAAGCGCGCCGCTGTAACGCTATTTGGTTGCCTATTGGTAATAGTTACTATATTGGTAATCTAATCTTATCGTTATCTCATGATCTAGTCGATTCTTATTACTTTCCCGTGATCAAGGTGGCGACTGTGCTATGTATGAACGAGCCTCGGATCTGCTTTCACATCGCAGCACTCACTAAATAAGCATGGGTAATAACATATCAAGCACGACAGCATCAATAGCAACGGCAGGAATTACCAGCTACGTCAGTGAATTGGGCAATATTCAGTATGGTGAAAGGTAACGATATTCCCGTCTTGTCGAATTCCGTAGCAAACGAAATAAACTCATGTGTTGTTAAATTGGACTCCATATATAATAGTCTAAGCAGTGCGCGGTTTATGAAAACTATTCGCGGTCGACATAAAGATGGCGCTGTTGTCGTAAAAATATTTATTAAACCTGAACCGGAAATATCATTAGCTAATATCGTAAGAGCGCTTGAAGGTGGGAATGTGGACAATAGGCCATTGTGAGAGGATTGAGAGAGTGAAGCTGCATCTTGCATTGGTGATTTTTTCAAGTGCTTGGATTCTGGAGTTATCTATTGTCGTTGATACTAATTCTTTCAAAAATTGTTCTCGCATCGGACCAGAGGAGCGAGAGGCCCTTTTGGAAGTTCCCAATGCCTTCCCGTACCAGCGAATTATTGAGACAGAAAAGGCTGGATATTTAATACGGCAATACTTTTTTAGTAGTTTGTATGATAGAATAAGGTGTGTGTGATGTGTGATTTCTAATGCTTGCTTGGGTATACTATATGTAATGTGTATTGTGGTATTTAAGAAACGTCCATCTTATTCAAGCAACTGTTATGATATTTGTCTGTAGTACTCGACCTTTTCTGAATCTTACAGAGAAGAAATGGATAACTTATCAATTGTTATGTGGAGTGCATGATGCGCATATGCATGGAGTAAGCTGGAAGATCAAGTTATTCTGTTAATATCGTTTGTCATGAAAATGTTAACACGTATAATTAATTTACTTCAGATATATCACGGAGATATTAAAACCGAAAATGTCTTGGTAACATCTTGGAATTGGGTTTACCTTGCTGATTTTTCGGCATCCATTAAGCCAACTTATTTACCGGAAGTATGTCGTTTACAGAATTTTACCAACTTTACCGCTTGGCTTAGAATTCCACTTGTTTCTTCATAGTTTTAATTCGTACCAATCACGTCGATTAAACTAGGATAATCCTGCGGATTTCTCCTTCTTCTTTGACAATTCATCGAGAAGAACGTGTTATCTTGCTCCTGAAAGATTTTATAAACCGGGAATTGGCATAGACAAAATTAAGGTATTATCGATTAGTTGTCGAAAAAATATGTATATATATGCTTATGATATCAACGATCTTTTTCCAAATTGTAGTGTGAACCTGAAGTTGGCGGGAAAGAGGGCTCAATTACTTCAGCTATGGATATATTCTCTCTTGGGTATCTAACAATCTATTTGATAACAATTTATTTGCCCATCTCAATTCAATATTTCAGATTCTGCTAACTTTGTCAAACATTAATCTTAGCTGCGTGATAGCCGAGCTCTTTTTAGAAGGCACACCCATATTTTCTTTATCACAACTATTTAAATATCGTACTGGTGAATATGATCCTGGGGTATATCTTGATAAAATAGAGGATCCGGATATTAGAGTAAGTTAATTCTCGTGATAAGCTGCATACATTATGTAAAGTATTAACATACTCTTGATTCACATCACAGGCTATGGTGAAACATATGATAAACATTGACCCAACTAAACGATTTACTGCTGAGCAATATCTTCAGGAATGGTAAGTCTGACAAATTCGTATCTATTACTGTCAACGTGTTTAAATCTTTAACTCGTATTCTGTGCATTTTATCAGGCGCGGCACTGCGTTTCCAATATATTTTAGTACATTTCTTCATCAGTATGTTGCTTCAGTTACTGATCATCATAATAGATCTCACGACATGGGAGTTGCTCTCCCAACAAACACTCCTCACACACGAGAATCTGCTGAAGCACAAAGTACTATTATTAATACTGATGCGGATGATAAGATTGAAAGGATATACAATGAATTTGATAAGATTGCATTTTTCCTTGGATTTTTCGATGGCAATGGAGCTGAAGAGGACGATGGAAGTATGGAGGAAGATATTAAAGGGAGGAATGGGAAAGTTGGAGAGAGGTCGAAAAAATTAGCACCTGGTAAGGCTGCGATTGTAATGTTATGGCTTGAATTAATTATTCGTATGGCTTACGTTAGAGTAACGAGCGGTAAATTTAATATCTCCAATAATTAACACACTTATTTTATTCATAATTAGAATCATCCGTGTTGTTAAATAATGCGGTAAGCTTATGACTGTCGTTAGTTTACAACGTAAGTGTCATAATGTGATATATATTTACGTACTTTAATCTGATACATAGAATACTCTATCAGTTCACCTCAATATTCCCAACTATGACACATCATTAGTTTCATCTCGTAAAAAATCCAAAGAAAAAGCAGGTATTATGATAAAATATTGTGGAAGCAACTTTGTTTTTTTAATACCTTCAATCCTACTTCTAACACTTTGTTAACATCATATTATCACGCGCCTTTAAAGATGATGGTGCTCTTATATTCCTGTCATTAATATGTGCCAAGATAAGAAATACTGCATATCCATCATCTAGGCTACACGCGTTGGATATGCTACTAGCTATTGGACAGCATTTAGAGGACGAATTTAAATTGGATAGACTTCTTCCTTATTTAATTGCTCTTCTTGGGGACGAAGTTGGATTAGTCAGAGCAAATACTCTCAAGACATTGACTAATTTGGCAAGTATTCCAGTAATTGGCAACGCTAGAATATGCATATTGTTCGTGTCGTCTAATCAGAAGCTTACAATTTATCCATTTGATTTTTGCCAACCACTAACTCGCTTTGTCATTACATCACCCGATTCACAGCTATTAATGGTGGAGAAAATAACGCCGCATAATGCCACAATATTTCCAGAATATATTCTCCCAAACGTTGTAAAATTTGCGTCGGACCCTGAGGTTATCGTCAGAGTAACATACGCTCAGTGCATAGCGTCAATTGCAGAAAGTGCTCTGAGATTTTTGGAGATGACACAGGTTAGTACTATAAATTTTAAGTGATACATGGAACTGAATCTGAATTTAGTGGATTTTGTTGACGAACCTGTTAATTTTTAGGCATTTAAATCAGATGGATCATTAGCAATATCGAGTCGTACTACGGATTATGGCGCATTTGAGGTATACTAGTACGTTGAACAATGTGTTAATATTACTACTATGATAGTTATTAATACTTTTACGACCGTTACTCTCAAGGGAACGTATGAGTCTAATTTGCATGATCTGCAATCCGTCATCCAAGAGCAAGTCACAATACTGCTTATTGATCCTGAGAGTGCTGTTAAGAGAGCTCTACTGGCAAATATAACCAGCCTATGTATATTTTTTGGACGGCAAAAAGCGAACGACGTATTATTAAGCCACATGATAACATATTTGAACGATAGAGATTGGATGTTAAGATGGTAAATATTATTATATTAAAATAGTCGCATTTGTTATTACTTGATGAGTATAACCACCATTTAATATGAGACATAGGCATATCATACTAACATTACCAGACGATTTTCTAACCCATCTCATCTTGCATCCATTAGTACATTTTTTGAGAGTATAATTGGAGTAGGAACATTTGTCGGTGGTCGTAGTTTGGAGGAGTATATTCTTCCGTTAATGATCCAAGCTCTCACCGGTAAGCAAATAGACAAGTACTGTGATCGTTATTAACCACGTCTCCTACCTAACTTTTTACTCTTCCAAAGATGCCGAGGAGTTTGTTGTTGAGAAAGTATTGAATTCGCTCACAAGCCTGGCTGAATTGGGTCTATTTCAGAAGATGAAATTGTGGGAATTAGTTGGAATCATATCATCATTACTTTGTCACCCAAGTATCTGGATTAGATATGGTAAGAAATTAACATGTATCTTTACTAAACAAATGATATTCAAAACTTATCGTTGCGGATTCTATTCAATAGGGGCAATCGCATTTATATCATCTGCTGCAAAGCTTCTACCTACCACTGATGTATGGTGCATTGTATACCCTATAATAAGGCCATTTTTACAAGCTGATATCGCAGAAGTAACAGAATTACGATTATTGGAAAACGTCAAGGAACCGGTAACGCGACGCGATTCTCACATGATAGCATATCCATGACCTCAAGCGCAATGCTAAATACAATTTTTATGACTAGCTTTCCAGGGCTGTGTTCGGAGCCGCTTTGACATGGGCAAGCAAGGCAAACAAATCGTTATTTTGGAAACAATCGAAAGAGCGTAAAGTTTCCAAGTCGAATTTGTCCAACTCTGGCGGTATACCAGCTATAGCAATGCTTGCTCGTCGTACTTCAACGCTCGCTATTAACACTGAGCAAATCGCAAAATCCGAGGAGTGAGTGACTTTTTCAAAATGCTTGAAGAGTATCTTGTATAATTGTATTACAGTTATAAATATTCTTATTTTTGTAGAGATGAACATTACTTGAAGAAGCTGAGAAGTATTGGAATGACAGATGAAGATGAAGAAAAGCTGGCTGCAATGAGGGACTATATCTATAAACTTTCGGTATCAAAAAGGTAAACTTGTAAATATCAAGTAAGATCGTAATTGTATATTGGATTTGTCGTTGCTAATTTGTCATGCTGTCGCTGCTCTTTTCCAATTGTGTTTAGTGCAAGGCCAAAAGCGCAGAACGAGGATATTGTAAATATTGAGGTATTTGTCACGTTTCCAGTATCAAAAAATTTTGCTTTTCGTTTTCTAATGATACGTTGAACTTTACAGCAAGACGGCTCAGTGAAACTAAAGAATATTGGAATAACAATTCATAACGTTTTTTTGAGACCTGCAAATTTGGATAACACGACGAACGGAGCGACTGACAGAGTAAGCAACATTTTATGATTGTGTTGTTACTATTGCAGTTTTCAAATAACAATTAATTATATATACTATATTCAACAATTTTTGGTAGACTATACCTGCAAGGTATTTTACAGATATTCGTAATTCAATTACAAACCTTACCGTCTTTACCACAATGATTCATCCATCTTTGTTCTCAGCCCATACCGTATACAAAGTGCCGCAAACAGTAAAACTTCACTTACGGAACCAACAGCGCAGTATAAACCTGTTTCATCATCTTATAATCCGCGAGGCGGGAGTGACGTGACCGCTGCGAATTTCAACAGTCGCACTCGTCGCATCTCGATGGGCCAAGTAGAAGGCAAATCAAATACATCTGCACGAGATAGTCACAAGAATAATTCCTCTGCTCTCATGACTGCTCCTATGCTGTCCACTGTACCACCTTCGCCGCCTGAAAGCAACAAGAACGGAACAGCCGCTATTGAAATCAATATTTCGAGAAATAGCTCTACAAGCAGCCTGGCAAAGCATAGGTCGTTAGTTGGTAAAGCGGCTGAGAGCCCTAAGGCAGCTCCTGCGACTAGTACTAGCATGACTACCGCGGAGGGTACCATGGAGATTCCCGTTATTAAAAAAGTAGAGCATGAGGCGAACACTGTAAATAATGCGAACATTGGCGGTGTTGATGTTCTACCTAGGAGGAATCTTGGTACTCTTGTGTCGAGTACTTATGGTAACGTAAAACAATATGTATTAGTAACAGCGAGTAACATTGTTGAACGATAATTGATGATTGTTCTTTTTTGTCTCCGCTTACAGAGGGAAAGGATAGAAACGTAAAAAATTTATTGGATAGCAGATATTTGAAGACATTTCCCAACCCCATGCCAGGTCAGTATGGTATAGTGCGTCTTTTTGTAGGATACTTTGTGACCACTGTTGCCAATTGTTATTTTATAATGAATAGAGTTTGGCCCTAGGATTACAAAATCTCCCACCAATCGTCAAGGACGTACCAATATATCAAAGACTATTACCGACTTTCGCCCAGAAGGTATGCCTAAACGAAGAAATCACTCTGGAATGAGATATACTATATGTTTATTGTAATTTTTCTTCTTATGATATTTAATATGTGCTGCCATTCTTGTCTTTTGATGCAGGTACCCTGATAGCTCATCTAACAGAACACAAAGCAGCCGTAAACAAGATTTGTGTATCACCTGATCATAAATTCTTTGCATCGTGTTCCGACGACGGAACTGTTCGCATATGGGACTGTGCTCGATTAGAGAAGAACGTGACAAATAGGTCAAGGGCGACTTATGTTCTCGGTATGTACTTTGAAAGAAAACATCAGCGATTTTATGCTACAATGGCTTGATAATTTATACATTGATGCGACTTGTAGGTGGAAAGGTTAAATGCATGACATTCATTGATAGTACTCATAGCATCGCTTGTGCGTCTGATAATGGGAATGTCCACGTATTCCGTGTTGAATATACCCCGGGCAATAATTCTGCCAAGTATGGAAAACTTCAGACAGTGCGAGAGAAGTATCTCAAAGATGAATATGCAATTTCTATGGAGCATTATAACATAGGTATGTATATGAGGTGTGGGAATGCGTAGCAAACACATGTATGATGACAGAATGAATAGGGGAACGGGCATAGGAATTTTTGTCGTCATTATTAATCTATGCATTTTTGTAAATAGGCACAGAGTCGATTTTAATGTACGCTACCACAAAGGGTACTATATACGGCCTGGACCTACGCTCGATGCAACTGTCCTGGTCAGTCGAAAATCCGCGCAGTCATGGTATTATTACGGCCATGGTCACCGACCGCGCTCACAACTGGCTACTTGTTGGTACATCTCGTGGTATTCTCACCCTCTGGGATCTACGTTTTCGTATTCCGCTTCGATCATGGGTGCATCCGACCAAGAGTAGAATAAGCAGATTGTTACTGTGTGTTCATAGTAAGGAACCGCGTGTGATTATTGCTGCCGGTAAACATGAAGTGTCCTTGTGGGACATTGAGAAAGTAGAATGTAGACAAATGTTTGCAGTCAGAAGTGGAGATGAGAAGATGGGCGGCGTGAGTTTGGACACCTTTAAGGTACGTTTGAAGGCGGATTTATAAATTATTAATTTAGTTACGTGCCCATGTATCGATATTTTTTCCCGATAGCATTTGTTAATAAGAATTTCATTATTATAATAGCCTGTAGATCCACCTGGACCAGGCGATATATTAATGAGTGCCTTTACTGCGCAAGAGGGCAGCTACGCAGTTGACAATTCAATCAGAGCCGTTATATATATGCCTGAAGCTGGATGCTCGTACATGTTAACAGCAGGATCTGATCGTAAAATTCGTTTCTGGGACATTGCAGCAACCGAAAATTCTTATATTGTCACCGGACAAGACGCAGATGAAGCCAAGCCTACATACAGGTAAAACTAGTGCACTATAATAGACTGAGAGTAGTGTTAATACTAGTGAGACATTGATTGACTGGAGCTGTGACCACCACACATTCTGTGAAATCAACTTACATTACATTTCCTTCTATAGTACTAAACCGGTTAATGGATTAATTGTACACTATGAATCCTATCCTCATCACTCACGATCAATTGGCTCTTCTGCAAATTCGGCCGCTGGCAGGGATGGAGGTTCATCAAATAATAGACGATCGTCTTCTAAAAGTAGTGCCAATGCGCGCAATAGTATCATAATACTCCAGCAGCAAAGTTTATTAAGAAACCATTTAGACTGTATTGCCGATATTGCTATCACAGAGATACCGTATCCAATGCTGATTAGTGGAGATCGGGAGGGAATCATAAAAGTATTTGCGTGAAATAGATACTTAGTCGTTACCTTTTGTTTAATTGTGTTTAATCGTGTTTAATAATATTTTCCTTGGAGTAAAAAATAATTTGCCTTAAACATGAAAATTCATATTTTGCTGTATGCACATCCACGATTGAACATTAAAGTGAAGAGTAAGCAAATGCAATGCATAATAATAAACTTGGCAGATATATATGCAAATAGACATGATTATAAGAAGGTTGATTTTGGCTCACGACAGACTTTCCCCGTCTGATGCCATGCATTGACGCCGCGTGGAGTTACCAGTAAGGGACGGAACTGTGGCAGGCCGCTCATATAATGTGTACATTCATTTACAATTAAATGAGAATATTGGCATAACGAGCAATTTGAAATAGTAGCGCACCTTATAGATAATATATACACAAAAATTGTACGAATTTACCTAGAGCCAACTTTTTATATTCATTTAAAAGCGCAAAAAACCGCTATCAAATTTATAAAAGATTGCCCGAATATCTTGCTTCTTCGTTGAGAAATCGGATTTTGAATCTAATCGTTCGTCATAAAGATGGATGAGATGTGAACATAGTAATCGCCGATAATGTGCCTAAATAATAATAAGTAAATTAAGTAAAAAATAAAACTTATAATTAAAAATAACGTTTTACAAACCTTGAGACTATAAATAATTCCTTGGTCGAGTGGTTGAAGTTGGGTCGACGTATTTGGGGGTAAAAAATGAAGTTTGACATTGGATAATTCAAAGATCATTGACTTTGTGATTAGAGACGTTATCGGCTAGCAAAATAATTTTGCGGTTTTTTAAGCAAAACATGTTGTTAACCTTTCTAAGGTAACTTTCAAATATAGAGCGTTCATCCAGGCAGATTTATTATAATAATACCATATACCAAGTGTAGTTTTATCAATTCCGCGCAATGATCGAGGATTATTTGAGTTATTTATGAACAGTAAAGGTAGCTTTTCTTCCCCCCGTTGCGTTACAAGTTGCGAGTATGGACACACGATCCTTCAACAATTTTTTTCCCGAAACTGGCGCAAGCAAGTGTTGTTCGAGGTTCCATTTTCCAAAACAGAGCTGTTTCGTCGCAATTAAAAATGTCACACCTTCTAGAATCGATTTCAAATGTTCACGTTGCTCGGGCAATTTGGCCACATCGACGTTTCCCGCTTCCCCTCGCTTTTTGTAAGATTTTAGATCGTTTCTCTTTAAACAAACAGCAAATTTTCTAGCATTTTCTCTCAAAATCGAATCAGTTAAGGTCACTTTGCCGCTTACTGCATTTTCTGCCCAAAGACTCAACGCTTCCTCTATATTAGGAAAACTGCTTTGACGTCTTCTTTTAAATGTACCAGTGGTGGAGGTTTCATCAATATTAAGCCAGTAGTCACTATTTGACAAAATTTCACTAATTGTTGGTATGGCACATTCAAACTGTTTGGCTAATTCGGCTATTTTAATTGAGGGATTGTCTTTTTTTTATTTGATAGATTTCTTTTTTTTCAATGCCGCGAAGTGCATGACGTTTGTTCTTAGCAGGTTTTGTCACTTCGTCTCTAACTATCATGACGAGAAACAGATTAGGATTTACCGTAAACTTTTAAATATTAAGTGAATTATGTCATACTGACATACATATTTACATTAATGGGAAAGATTGCGTGAACTTTATTATAATATGAAGAACTTCATTATAATATAGTGAAGTTCGTTATAAGAAAACTTCGTCATATTCTTATTAGCCAACTAAGTTAAAACTTCGTTATATCCGGGAAACTTTATTAGACAAGGTTTTGGGACATCGAAAAAAACTTCATTATAGTCGAAATTCGTTATATCCAGGTTTCGTTAATATCCGGGTTCACTGTGTACATAAAAATAAACTTTTGTGTTACCGAAAAAACTAACATTAAATTACGCGACCTAAAAGTTTAAATTGCTAAAAGATCAATCCACATAATAAATTACACGAATTCAGAGTTTATTATATTATCTGCACCTTGAATGACATGACTGAACGACAAGAGCTTACTGAGTTTGAACATGTCTTATTATTGGAGGGTGGCTATTTGGTCACTCAGAACGAGAGATTTAGAAAAAAAACTGGCCATCCAAAGTCAACAATACACGATACAATAGCAGGATATTATGAAAATGGTACAGCGACTCTTGTCCCCCCACGCACTACAGTACTGACAGACAGAAATAAGCGACATCTTGGAACCCCAGACGACAAGCAAACTTAGTTGCGGCTCGAAAACCCTTATTTCGATGAAAAAACATGACAGTCGAATAAATTATCCTCTTGAAGGATACTCACCTTATTCTGAGAGAAAAGACAAAAATTCTCGTACGCTAATTCCAGGGTGCAGTAAATGCAAATCGAATAAACAACGATATCCTGTCCTCTTACATTCTATTCCTCAACAGCTCTTATCAATACCATTAATGCCGTTTTGAAAATAACAGTGAGCGAAGCTTGTATTGATCGTTACATTTTTTGCGATATACGTGTTTTACCCTTGACAAAATTTACGGTAAGCGGGTATTGAACGTTGACGCGAAGTAAAAGAACACTTGATGACGAACAAGCATTTATTAGTACATGCATAGGTGCAATGTAACACAGGTGTTGGAAACGATACTTTTGCGCACTTGAAAAAAATTTTTTCATTCAAACTATGTCGTTAGCAATTGACAATTTGGTCTTGGAAAGTGAATGGATTCCTTACTCGCAAATCACCGACATAAAACCAACTCAAGTTGACAACGTCTACAACGCTACTCGCAAATACACCCCAAACGATGTTGACGTTCTTGAAGACAAGATAATGCTGGTCTTCCTGGGAAACGGTGAAGAATGTACACAAACACTTGTTAGTGAGTTTGCTAGAATATACTCACTTTCGACGCACAAGTACAACAATGACAACGTTAATCAGTTCAGAAGATATTCCACATGGCTTTACCATCGCAACAATCTCATAAAGGGGTTTACCAAGTCTAATGACAAGATTTCATGGTTGCTAATAGACGCTTTTACCATTGTTACTCTCGATATGGATTCTGCCCTACATGTGGAATACTCCGATGTAGTCCTGTGTGGTGCATTTGTGGTCATAAACAATTATCCGATGGATGGACTAGCAACAATAAG